GAGTCAATATTGTCATGAATTATTCTCATGCATGGCATATTTTTCCAAGATGAGACATTTAGTCTCGATTAAATTGAGCTGAAAGCATAACTCTTCCTTGCACTACTACAAGCCCCTTTGACACTTTCTATGCCGACAATATAGCTCTAGCGGGTCATTATTTTCATGAATTATTCTCATGCATAGCATATTTTTCCAAGATGAGACATTTAATCTTGATTAAATTGAGCTGAATTTTCCTTGCACTATTGATAAACCATCCCAAAGGACGCCATGAATACATGTTTCAATCTACTGGCAAATGGCCCTCAAATAATTATCTTCAGCACACAAAAATAAAGAACTGCAAGCAGCAAAGTGCTCTGAACATGTCTGTCGCCAAGTAATGTTAGATGAAACTGATTGCTTTTCATAAACAACGTGAGTGATCTATTAATCAGACTAGGTCGTATAGAAAGTAGGCCATGTTCGTTGCGTATTTATATATACAGTTAACAACTAAATTATGTATACCCTTGTGAGTTTTGTAATTTGTTCAGTATGCGAAACAAAACGAGTTGTCCCTATTTATGCTTCTTGGAAATATCAAAGCTTACATCTATTTATAAAAAAAAATCAACAAATTAACCCAATTCTACCAATCTACCTTCCATTCTGAGTAAGAAAAACACAAAAAGCATTGAATATGCAAGGGCTATGAATATGTGAAATATAGGTCCCATGAAAAACTGTATATTAGGTAGAGAGAGAGAGAGAGATCATTACACTACAGCAAGAGGAACTGCTCATGTACAACATTTACCCTAGTCAACTGTATTGTTTCTTTGTATTCGTACACCTTGGTAACATGTCCGCCCCCGCAAACACTAGCTATGTATAACATAATTTATTGAAATATTAATTTATGTATTCATGTCTTATTTATCAAGCAAAGTAGATCATTCAATTGCTCTACAATGACGCAACGTATGCTGCAACATACAAAATACATTAAAGATAAAGGTGAGTTTTGGTTTTTTTTAAAAGAAGAAAATGAATTCTCACAGAATCAAACGAAACTTACACTGAATGTTCAAGATTACTTATAAATGTTATTTTTTGCCAAACAATTTTTGTAGAAAATGTATACTGGCTGAGTAATGAGCATAGAAAGATTGGGAAATCAAGGTTAGTAGCCCCGACACCATTTGTGTAGTCCCATATACATCTTTCTGTGTATAGTGCTTGTTACTTTACCAAGACTGGGCCAAATTTATTATGATTTTGATGACTCCAGAACTTTGCAGTGCACACCAATAATTACATGCTAAATGATCAACTTTTTCTGATCCATTCCACACCTTTTCTTTCACAGTGCAATCGGATGACCAGAACTCATCTTTATCTTTAACAACAACAATACCAACAATTACAACAAACGAAAATAATGTTTGACATAAAATACTAGAAAATATAAATATACAAATAATAAGTGACATATTTAAACAATAACATTGCCAGAGTTGCAAAAGTAAGGAATAACGCGCGAATAGGGGAGGGGGGGATATGTGAATTCGTAGGGAGTGGGGTGAGTGCGCGCACGAACTTAAAGGTAATACAAAGTTTTGGGAAATTTGGAAAATTGGGTGGATAGTGATTCTTTACAATTTTGATATATTTGGATGCCACTGTGGATGTCTTATAAGCACTGGAAAATTTAGCACCTAAAAGTACAATTCTGATTTCGAGAAAAATTGAATATAACAATTTACCGGTGCTCCCGGTAAATTTTGATAAATATTAAAAAGCGCCTATACGGTCGTACAGTGGTAGCTGCGACCATGAAAATCTCAGAATATGTAGTTGTGATATATGATTTCCCGACGGGAATAGCTAATCGGTCGATTTTAGTCAAGAAACATTGTTTTAAAGCTTAATTAATATCCTGACCTTGAGAGGGAGCTATACAACATAAAGAGTTTATTATTTACAATTTCATAACTTTAGACTCGATTTCAACCGCGACAACGATCACTGAATATTGTAGGATCGCATATGCTTCCAATATTTTCATTTGAAAAAGACCGGAATCAGGGCCCGGTTTCATAAAACCTGTTATACAAAACGAATGCTAAATAGTATGAAAAATTTGCTCTTAGCCAATCAAATGCCACGATTTCAGTAGCTTATAATAGTTATTGTAACTCGTCATTGATAACAAAATATATAAAAAAATATTTACCAGGGTCCAGTCAACATTTACCCCTATCCGTCTTGGAGGGACTTTACCCCTCCTGTTAATTAATATTTGGATACGCAACTACAGAGCCCAAAATTCACAAAGGAGGTTTGGAGACAAACTTCGGTTTTATGTGCGTCATATGACGCGTTTTGGCGCGTTTCAGACCAAGGTTTGTCTGAACCTTGGTCTAAAACGCATCGAAACGCGTTCACATGACGCACTTAAATCTAGGTCTGTCGACAAACCTCCTTATTGGAAGTCTCGTCAATGATTGTAAAGGTTGAAGACGCGAAATAAAAGATTGGAATTCCATTATTATAGCAATATCAGCATTAACCCTACCTGCTCTTGGATTTATAGAAGGACACGGCCTCCTATAATAAGCAGTAAAATACAAAGCCATGATAGTGTCTTTTAAAGATAAAGTTGAGTTGTGGTCATGCGATTGCATTGTGAAAGAAAAGGTGTGGAATGGATCAGAAAAGTTAATGTAGCATGTAAGTATTGGTGTGTACTGCAAGGTTCTGGAATCATCAAAATCATAATCAATTTGGCCTAGTCTTGGTAAAGCAACTAGCACTGTACACAGAAAGATGTATATGGGACTACAAAAATGGTTTCGGACTTTTCCTTATCTTTCTATGCTCATTACTCAGCCATTGCACATTTTTTACTAAAATTATTTGGCAAATGACATTTCTTGTATCAAAACCAAATGTCAAGTAAGAGTCCACTTTCGAAATTCGTTACATACAATAGAGACATAGACATCAGTTGAAGTTGAAGTTGTAGTTTATTTTTCCATATTCCATTAAAAACATTCCATTAAGAAAATGAACAATATGAACAGTAGAATAATTATAAACAATTCATTACAGTAAAAACGAAAACGTGGAAGGGAACCGATAGGCCATCCGCCTGTCGTGGCAGAACCCTTACAAATATATACATTAGACACTAATTATGTACAAGCACAGAATATAACTCAACAAACCAACAAAGTAAAGTCAAACGGAATATAAACAAACACCCTAAGTGCAACAAATAAGTATGGCAGAACCATTTTAAAACTGTACCCCTTTTACCGTAATATGGAATTTCCCCATAAGTATAGAGAGATTAACAGTATCAACCCTCTTTGATAGATTTTTTTAAAGGCCCAAAACTATTTAGTTTAAATCTTTTCTTCAAATAAACATGATATTGTGTGCTGAGAGCTACAAGGTTGTGAAATTAATGCTGAACAAGAGTGATTCAACACCATTCCAGCTCTTAACAGACGGTACATAACGAGATCATTTTTCTTTCTGTGTCACATCATTAATGCATTTATACATTAATAATTGATACAAATAACACTGACGAGCAAAATGAGAAAGAGAAAAACAGCTAGGGTAAGAGAAAGAGGGACAGAAAGAGAAAAAATAAGGAAAAAATACAGAAACAAAGAGAGAAATAGGGAGAAAATGAGAGAGAGAGACAGAGAGAGAAAGTAATGGAGGGGCGGGGCTAACATCGAATCAGGAGCTGTAAATTAAAGACGTGCACATAAGGCAGTATGCAACATTATACAATTCTACTCGAATTTTGTGTAGAAAACATGGCAAAATACATAGCAAAATTCGGTAGATTTGTAACAGTAAACAGAACAAAAGACATTACAATCCGGGAAGGGGGGGGGGGTGGGTAATTATCATTAAACAAAACCTAATACTCTTGATGTCAATTTATGTTTATAACATAATAGTTGGTATTGTACGGGGCATTACAAAATATGAACAAATACTAAGACTTTCCAACACGTTCTTTCAGTACCAAGAGACGTGTTGCAGGTAGATCTTTCCTGACCCAATTCTATTACCATTAAATACTATCTTTCTACGCGTTTATTATCAGTATCTAAGAATATTTTATTGCCATTTATGTAAAAAAAACATGACAGATATATCAACTTCCTTTTTAAATTGTTAACATTTTATCTTATTAGATTTAAGTTCCAACAGTCTAATCCAGATCCTAAAGTATCCATGCCCTACGCAAATGTGAAGAAAATTGTAGAATACAAGATAACAGAGAAGAACAACGCCCTTGCATTACATTTCAAGAAATGAACATTCAGTTTGATGTTTCATATATTTTACATTTAAGTTGATGTTTGTTATTGCCTACCAAGTGTTGTGCAGTGGTAATTTGATAAACTTTGTATATTAAGAGTTTCCCCCAATATTTTTATTATTATAATCATCATTATTATTCTAACAAAGTTGTCGGCAATTATCTCATCTCGCAGTATCATCGTAATTCATCTATCCCAACGTCGCGCTTTTTTGTGGAAATACTACGATCCTGCACAATTATTAGTTTTGTTTGTTTGTTTGTTTTTATTTCTGCATTTTCAAAATAGAACATAATAATATACATAAAGTAACAAATATTTCTTCATTTTACATAATTATACATTTTTAAGTACATTAAATAAGATGCATACAAACACAAATATAATTTCAATGAAAAAAGATAAATTACAGAAAACGCAAGAGACCGCCATTAGTTTGCAGGCAAGGACTCGAATTCGAAGCTTAAAACTAATACCCTAAAGCCTTGAGCAGAGCCAAGCTCTGCCAGCCTCTGGCTGAATAGATGTAATAGGCCTATACAGGGCCACGGAGCACAGTATAGACCTGACACCTAGCTCGTCTGCATTCTGTATAGTCTCAAAGTTCAGACACTGTTTTTACGCATTACCACAGACAATTGGTTGTGTCTGAAATGATTAGTATCATGGACCACGTTGCTTCCTGGCACAAGCCCAACGATCAAGGAGCAGATAACGTCGAAAATTCCGACGAAAGTGTTTGTTGGTGGCAGCGTAGATGAAGGGATTTATCATAGAGTTACCCCACACGAGCGAATTTGTGACGTCCCAAGTAAGAAAGGAAACGCATTCGTAGCGACATATTGCAAATATGACACTGGCCACTTGGACAGGCAGCAAGCAGACCAGGAAACAACCCACAAGGATGCCAAGGACCACAGCGGATTTCCTGTGTCTGGCAAATGTACGTTCCTTTAAGCCCGACCCGTTGGCTTGTGGGGCATTGTTGGATACATTTTCGTTCGGTAGTGCCTCGGTAAGCTGTTTGTCAGCATTTGCAGAAGTGTTGGATGAATCGGCCAGAGTGCCTTGTTCCTCAAGACATGACCCTGCTGAGGAATTGCACTTGTCTTGGCGTGGGGATTCTCCTTCGTTAGCTCGCTTGGTGGCTCGAGTAGATAGTCCGTCCGCAGGACTCTGCCCTACGATACCCTTGGATCTCCATTTAATGTTGGTATAGACAGAAACATTCAATGCAACCAGGACTGTGAGGGGAATGAAGACCCCTAAAATGTTTACGAACAGTGTCATAGCAAGACTGGACGTAAATTCCAATTCACAGTCTTTCTCATAATTCACCTTGTACTGCCCAGTTATAGGACTCCACGCAAACGCCAGTAGGGTAAACCAAACGAAGACCACTGCCCAAGTAACGCAGACGATAGTCCGATTCGCTTCTTGGTCTGAAACGTCTGATACTTCAGTCCCATGGTCACGAGACAGTACCGGTCCCAGCTGATCAAGACCATGTTTAGAATGGACATCACAGTTACAGTGTAGTCCACGACCAACCATATCTTACAAAGGACCTCTCCGAACGGCCAGTAGTCTTTGATGAGCCATGTCAGGTTGAAGGGCCACATGAGGGCGCCCACCGTCAGGTCTGTGATTGCAAGGTTCAGGATAAGAAGGTTGGCCACCCTGGCCCTGATGTTCTGATCTCGAAAGTACGCAACAATAACCATGAGGTTGCCGACGACAGTCACAGCACTTATTACAGAGAAAATCAGTGGCACTAGAGCGAGCCAGGCCGTTGAGTTAGGGTATCGTAATTGTCACCGTAAGAATAACTGTCGTCACTTGAAAAATTGATACTTGCGTTTAATTCCATTGTTGATAATATACGATCGAATGGCATATAATCCGATGATAAATCTCCTTCAGTGCGTCATGCTTTCACAATCGTAAATTTATTAGCCAATTTTCCATCCAAATGTAGAAACGCAGAGCGAGGAAGCTTTTACAAAATGTTTTGCCAGAAGAAATGAATGCGTTAATTCCAGTGCTGAAACACGACCGAATGATTAATTATCATTCTGATGATGAACTTCTTTCAGAACATTCTTCTGTTGCAAAGTTTTAGGATATATCTATAATTCTAAAAAATATATGAGCCAGTTTTCTACCTACATAAAGAAACACACTTGTCTTCCAAAACCCGGAGATGGACTTCGCAAACGTTTAATTCGCTTGAAGAAAAGAAAATTACGTTTTCCATTGCTGAATAAAACGCTACCGAAAGATTATTCCGACGATAAAGTTATTCGGGACGTTATGCTTTCAAATCAATTATCTTTAGATGGTTTTAGAGCTATCAGCCAGTTTCTTTACCCTTCTTGAATTGCAGAACGAGAATGCTTTCACAGAATATGCTTCGCCTGAGCACCGGTTGGAGGAATAATACTTTTATTCCATTGACGAAATACGACCGAATGATAGATATCTTGATGATAAACTTTCTTTCAGAATATTATGCTTGCATAGTCATATTTATGTTTTAATTTTTTCAGCCAGTTTTCCACCTATATAACGATCAAAATGGCTTCAAAGCACAAATGCCTCGCCCGAGGAATACGTATTGTAATTCTGACGAGACCATATAGTTCCTTCGAGATTTCATTTACCCTTGAATGATTCATATTCAATCAAAAACGTATATACTCCTCCCTGACAAAACAGATTTTACAACAGAATATTGGCGAATGTTGTCTCAACAGTTGCAAGATGTGTTCTTGTCAGCGACCTGCGGACGATATGAGCGCGAAATTGATTGAACTGTGAAAACGCTTTACATTGCTTTCCTTGGTACATGCTATGTTACATTTCCATGTATCAACCGGTTGTAAGGACGTCATCTCACTGATCTGTATGAACACGTTCAAGCGCTTGTCGATAGAGGGCGACCCAAACTCTCCCCGACGTGCGTAGTTGAGTTCAAGCTGTGAAGCTGTTATACGAAACTGCTCCGAGGTCGCTTTCATACATAGGATTCCGAACTTCAACATGGGATAATAATTCCAAATTCCAATGACCATCTATGGGTTGATTTGGGTACATGTGATATAATGTAGGTTCTAGTCTTCTGCTCACCTATATCTCACAACCACCATGCCCGCTCTCTTTCTCACTTGGATTAATTTTACTTACCTTTTCATTCCCACGTTTCTACATTTTACTTTCAACTTAGTAATTTCCAAAGTAACCAACACCTTCATTTCAACGTAGAATTCTACAAACGGGCCTAAAATGTACACACGAACTATTAAAAGTTCGTCACTTTGGTAAATAGTTTTGAAGAAAGGGTGCTACCAGCTTTCATCAACGATCACTAATTTTTGTAGAGTTTACACATATAAAAATAATGCACTGTTTCGCTCGTGTGTAAGAGCAGTTCGAGTGCACTCAGTTTAGTCAGTGCGATATCACCTATGTGCACTGACTAAAGCTACGGCCACAAGTACGATGCGTTCGTACGAATTCCAGAGTTCGTAGAGATTCGTAGATGGGGGCATAGTTTCTTACGTCTTTCTTACGTCCTTCTTAATGAGTTCGTACGAAAGCCTTTTAATTTTTCGTAAGAATGCCTTGAGTTCTTCTTACGTTATACTTACGGCGATCTTACGAGTTATTGTTCTCGCAAGATGGCCGTAAGTGTAACCATGTCCATGGTGTAACTGACGCCATTCTCAAGTCTTTCGTAAGAAGATGTTACGATTTTGGGGGACATTTTGTCAAGTAGCAAAGAAGCGATGCACAAATTGCATAAAGTATGTACGTACACCTTACGAGCACCTTACGAACGCCTTACGAACGCCAAGAGTCGTTCGTAGGAAGGCCATACGAATCTCCGTTCGTAAGGCGTTCTTACGAACTCCGTAAGAGCCTACTATGAACAACTTAAGGCGTTCTTACGATCATGGTAAGAACGTGAGGCTTTTAGAATTGTCTCTCGATCTTGCGTGGTTCATACGATGTTATTACGACGTTCGTACGGCTGTACGAAGAGAGGGTTTCGAACGAGGTTGGAAAAAAATCTTGGACAAGACCATCGACCAATCTTTGAACTTACGAACGGTCTACGAACGCTTGTTTCGTACGGCCTTCTTTAGATGATCTTACGAAATGGTCTTAAAACGTTCGTACGGCGTTCGTAGCAGCCCGTAACGGTATTTATGATCGAGGCTTAAACTTCGTGCACTGGCCTTGCGCTAACACACTCGCAACAGTGCATTTGTATAATAATTTCTTTAAGTTTCCTGTCTGCAAACGTACGTTTAGGGAAGTACTTATTTTTGTCAACCGATAACAGGACACACTAGTGTCCTGTTAATGGCCATGTCTACACCGTGGCGTACTGATGGGGGGGGGGGGGGGGGGGCTTCGGGCAGTTGAACCCCCAAATAAAATTCAAACGTGGTTTATTTCTAATTCCATACCAGTGATTTGCAAATGTTGCTGATTTTGACACGTGCCCCTTTCCTTTCTAATAAGTACCATATTCCCTTTGGATAAGTGCCCTTTTTAGTATTTATATAAGCCCCTCCCCCATTCAAAATGCCCCTTTAACATCTGATTAAAGCCCCTTTCAAAATGTGGCCTTCTCTCCAACAAATTCCCGATTTCCATTCTCACAAGGGCCTCTTTTCATTTCTGTTGAGTGTCCCTTTTCAGGTGCAAGAAGTGCCGTTCTCACCTATGATAGCTCTGATAATTGCCCTTTATACTTTGGCAAGAGCACTTTAAGTTTTTGAAAAGGGGCCGGTTGTCCTTTTAGGAGTGTTTTTAGTTTTTTCAAAAGCATTTGATGGCATAGTTATTTTCAATCATTTTTGCTGATGCTAATACAAACATTTTTATCTCTGGTAATGCTTATCAATGAAATTAATGTGCATTCAACACTGAGATGAACAAGGTTTATAACTGGTTTTCTGCCAACAAATTATAGGCCTATGCAGCTCAAAACTAAAAACTCAAAAATATGAGAGAATACCTTAATGTTTTGGTTGGTAACTATGACATACAACGAGTAAACTCTACAAAATTTCATGGAGTTCATATTGATGCCAACTTAATCTGGAAAGAACATGTGAATGACATTTGTCAAAAGATATCAGGGACTATCGGAGTATTGAATCGACTAAAGAAATATTTCCCCAACGAATTTTTAAAACATTATACAAACCACACATTGATTTTATCTCATATTACATTATATGCAATATCATCTGGGGCAATTGTGCATTATATGTAATATGTTGTCATTATAGTCTTACAAAGACGTGCTACGCATCGTAAATAATGTACCACCGCTATCCTTATACTGATCTTTAAATAAAAAAATTTAAAAAATTTAAAATGTTTTTAATAATAGTAATGTAAATAAATAGATTATACAGATTGCAGTTTTTATGTTTTCATATTTCAAAAACCTTTTACCCCCAACATTTATTAGTCTTTTTACTTTTAATTGTGCAATCCATAGTCACAGTACCCGTTCAACCAAAGATTACATTTGACGTTATACAAGTATAATTTTTCACGCAAAAGAATAACTTTCATTGGAGCAAATGCTGGAATGAAATGCCCAATCAGTTGAAACAAAATCAAAGTCACTTTCTCAATTTAAACGCAAATTCAAACATTATCTTTTGGAAACTAAAAAATAAACATATAAATAAAGTAGTATTGCCTTATGTTTGTATTTCTGTATATCTATATTTTTTCAATGTATAATTGTAACATTTATGTTCATAACATTTTAGATAATTGGGAATTGGCCACTGATGGGCTTCTCAGCCTGTGCGGATTCACCCTCATCTTCATATTTATTTTACACCCGGACCTTCCACCCAGTGTTTTTAATGTACGCATATGCATGTTCCCTCCTATTGAAAACACCCCCTAAGTCCGGTGTGTAAAGTCTTTTTTTTGTACTACGAGCCGGACTTTGGTGCGTGAAAAGTACCCCTTTACCCGACATTTTGGTAACACACATGGTATCCCTCCGTTGGGGGGGGGGGGGGGGGGCGGGATTTTACAATATGTTGTTTTGACATGTTTTGTTTTGTGTGTGCGTTTGTTGAAACGTTTTTTTTTATGCAAGTTATCTTCCCATTTTATGTACCACGTACTTTATGTAAATTTACTAAACGTATTTTTCCTTTACTGTGCAATTTTCAAGGTTGTAATATGTACTTGCTGTTTTTTAAAAAAGATGTGGAAACAATGAACTTGAAACTTGAAACTTGAAAATGGACACTTATTGCAAAGGAAAATGGGAACTTGTCAAAGGAGAAGGGGTACGTGTCAAAATAACAGGGGCGCTTATAAGAAGTTGAAAGGGGAAGGGGCAATTAAAAAAAAAATAATAGGGGCACTTGTCAAAGTATGGGCACTTTTCCTATGTAAAAATGGGCACTTCTTACAAAGTTAAAGGTGCGCTTTTGGGGGGGGGGGGGTCTGTGAAAGTACAAATTAATGAATAAATAAATGAATAAATAAATAAATAAATAAATGAATAAATAAATAAATGAATGAATGAATGATTAAATAAATACAACAAAATAATAATTCGTTTCCATTAGGCTAATGAATATATCACATTTTTTCAATGATGTCCAAGTTACTGTTTATAATACTTTACATCCAACATTGCGTGCTATAATAGTCCAATAAAGGCAGCCCC